CAGACAAGGTGTTAGAGAAGATCATCCTCAAACGGATTGAAGCCTACCCGGAAGGACTGTCTGATACCCAATTTTGCTTCAGGAAGGGGAGAGCCACAATTGAGGTCGTAATCGATATCGCACGCCAGGCTTTTGAGGGTAAACGATGGAAAATAGACACTAATGAGTATTGTGCTATAGTCACCCTCGACGTCAGGAACGCATTTAATACTACAAGGTAGAGTTCCATAATTGCTGTATTAAAAAAAACTAACAGTCCCATATTACATTATGAAAATAGTCAAAAACTACTGTGAGGAAAAGACCTTGCAGTACGAAACAGACCGGAATAAACATCTATATTATCTCGAGTGGTGTTCCGCAAGTCTCGGTACTTGGCCCGCTTTGTGGAATATTATGGATGACTCAGTTTTGTAGTTCCAGCTACCGGAAGGTGCAAGGGCTATTGGATTTGCTGATGATGTGTTGCGGTGGTAGTGATCATCAAATATACTGAAGAGGTCACGCATGTTGGGAACGAGGCTGCGGCTGCGATCTGGCGGTGGCTAACGTCGGTGGGGCTCCAGATGACCGAGCATAAAACAGAGGCTGTCTTTGTGACAAGCAAGAAAGTGAAGAAGGATATTATTGTCGATGTAGGGGGTAGTATCATAGCCTCCCAGCAGTCACAAAGATACTTAGGAGTCTAAATTGACTCTTCGACGAGCACTTGCATGTAACCTGCAAGAAATAGTCCCGCATAGCCTACGCCATCGCACGAATTATGCCTAACACTGCGGGTCAAAGGTAATGTAACCGTAAGTTACTGTCTAGCACGGTGAACTCTATCCAACTCTACGCTCCCCACTTTGGGATCCGCGGTCAGTGCGAAGACAGTGTACAGAAAGTCCGCATTGCGTGCGAAATTGCGTTTCATATTCCGTCGAACATTTCCTTTCAAAATTCCGTCCTACGTGTACGCTTGATGTTATTTTCTAGGTAAGCCCGTGTATATATATATATAATATATATATATAGTATATAATATATATACATCCATAGTGATATATAGTACTGTCACTATATAATAGTGACAGTACTTACCATTTATGCTCTTTTAGTAGGGGTTATAAGCATACGGGTTAGTCGATAACCACACATTAGTTTTACCTATCGGTAAAACCATGAATATGTTCATATCGTTATGGTTCCTTCATCTACCATTCTTTAACTTTCTTGTACAATAATGCTTTCATCTATTCTATCCGCCTCCCTTGGTCAATTCTTGTTTTTTTCTGAACCCGACCCTATTAGGTTTCGAGGGCTAGGGAGTCTTTTATCATTTTCCTTCCTTATATGCATGCATCCACGTATGAATGGTGCATGACCCAACAGGGGAAGGTGGGATTCACTAACCTTGGGAATTAATTCATCCCTAAACAGTGGATCAGGGGTAGGCTGAACTCCTGAAGCTACGGTGGAAGCAATCAGCCTAAGGGATGGGAAACCCTGAAATAAAACCTCCGGTCCTCCAGGTTTGGGGGTTGTACTGTAGGCCAGCACCCAGCACACACTAAAAATCTTAGTTATAGGAATGCCTCGGATATTTCAAAAGGAAAACGACATCGGAAAAGACAATGGACTGAATATTGGTATATGGAATGTACAAAGTATAACAAACAAACAAACAACAAGACGTAATCCAGGAAATGATGAGAAGAAACAGATATAGCCGTCTGGTCTTAAACAAAAAAGAAAGGCAAAGGAAGCGAAACACTGAACAACTTTGTGCACTTTTACAGTGGCGTAAACAAACATGAAAATGCCAAAACCGGAATTTCTATTTTTTTGCGAAAGATTCGGTAAATGTATAAAACGTTGGGAGTATATAAACGAAAGTCTTATTAAAGTAGTGTTAAAAATCAGAGGGAAATGCATAAGTGTCATAGGAATATATAAGTTGAATGATGATGCCCAAATGGCTAAGAAAGATGATTTTGAAATGACGGTCAAAGAAACCCTTGACAGTATTCCAAAGTCCCATGAAATAATATTTGCAAGAGATTTTAACGGCAGAGTTGGAAGAAACAAGAACAATATTGTGGGCCAACATGGTGAGGAAACTCGCAATGACAATGAAAAAAGACTTATTAATATTTGTGAAGAGTATGAAATGAAAATTAATAACACTTTCTTCCAACATAAAGATATTCATAAGTATACCTGGTACCAACATTCAAAAAAACTAAAATCTATAATAGACCTGTGCAACTTGCAAGCAAAAAACTTCACTCAAAGTACAAGATGTTAGAATAAATCGAGGAGCCCAATGTAGCGATTATTGTTTGGTAATTGCTAAAATATTCATACCATTTACATTGAATAGCACAGATAAAGAAGATAAAGAAGGATTGGTCATGAAACCTACCAAATATAAATTAAGCAGTCTTTTCGATGGAAGTACAGCATATCTCTACAGAAAAAGGCTTGAAGCTAAACTATTGGTTAAACATAGGCCAATAGAAAAAGAATATGAACACATAAGAATGTATTCACCAAGCCGCAGAGGAGGTACTTTTAAATTAAAACCGAATCTGGCTGACAACAGGTCTTGGTCAGATTTGGTCTTTCCCCAACACTGTTTTAAATACATCTGCATCAAATTTTACTGCAGTGGGAGAAAGAATGCAGAGTAATGGGAATGACGATCGGAGAGGATAAATTGTTTACATTATATTTTACCGATGACCAGGTAGTAATTGCACAATATGCGGACGATTTGAGTTTCATGATCCGTAAACTCATTGAACACTTTTTAAAAGCAGGACTTAATATTAATATGGACTAATCAGAATACCTGGCAGTTGGTAAAAATGAAATAGAAGATCTTCTTGTGGAAAATGGAGGAAAAATTGAAGGAGTAAACAAATATAAATACCTTGGTGTACTTTTTAACAATAAGGGAAATAGTCAAGACGAAATTGAGAGACGAATATGCTTGGAGAGAAACTGTTTTAATATTTTCCCATTCTTTCTCTACTTTATCGCATGTTGCTATATTTTCTACGTAATTAACTAGTCTCTGTTGATATAGCTTTTTATACTCTCTTCTTGTAGCAGATTTACACATTCTTGAACATTGTTTTAATTTTTGGGACTTAGATTTTTCTATCTACTTTGTAATAGCTGAGACAACCAAACAATGACCTGAGTATGTATCTTTGCCTCTATAAAAATTGTATCTTGAATTAGGGTTGATAATTTCTCGTTAACTATATCATAATCTACGAGTAATCTCCATCTTGTAGCATTCCAAGTATATTTATTTCTTTATGTCTAAAAAATGTGTTGGTTATTTTTAATGTATTATAGGTGGCAAAATTTCTTAATGCTATACCATCATTATTCATTGTTGGCTCTCCAAAGGTCCCAACTATTTTAGGTATTGGTTTCTTTCCAACTTTTGCATTTAAATCGCCACTACTTATTAAATTATCTTTGTTATTAATTTGGTAAATAACTTTCTGTAGATTTTCATATAAAGTTATAGTTTCTTTTTTCCCTTCTTCTGGGGCATATAACTCCGACCACATTTAGATGTCCTCTCTAATTTTAATCTTACTGTTATAATTCTTTCATTTACACAAAAAAACTTCCTATTTTAGAGGTCCATTTCCTATCAATCAATACTGCTACTCCACTACTTGCGCTTTGACTTTGGCCTACTCCAGAATAGATCATGGTGTAATCGTCAAGATCTTTAGTTCCCTGAAGCTTTTTCTTCGTTTCTGTTGAAACGGCTATATTCATGCTACATTCCTTTAATTCATCATTGAGTTCTTTTTCTTTGGTACCTAAACCTCTTACATTCCATGTAGCAACTTTTAATCTATCCTCTATTCCGAATCGCTTGTCCTTTTCTCGCTTATGTTGTCATATATGGGATTTATCCGGCTTATCTATGTGAAGATTTTTAGTAATTGAAATGTCCCCTGACCTCGTTACAGGCTCCGTGCAGGGTAATCCGAGTAGTGGGGCTGCCACTTCACAGATTTTGAGCCAGCAGAATTTGATATCAGGGTTTTTCCCTTTAAAAAAGTCGGTTTCACCTGGAGAGCCTCCCCTACCCTTTGAAGAGCCTTCTTCCGCTAGTTTCGACTTCTCATCTTTGGCGAAGCCGCCGTTGAGGTTCTCTTCTGGACTACTTCTTAGTCTGACCCCTCCCCTTTGAACTGTCCGGCAAGGGAGGCCCTACCGGTAACTACGCTACCGCCGGCATAATGATTAATATATACAGTATTCCAATCCAAAAATTTACATATTTATTAATATGTACCCACAACCCAAATCAATACTACTATTGCCACAAAAAAAATTTCCGTGAGCGGTCAGGAAATAATTAATTGGTCCCCGGCGACTCTATCGGCTTACATGGCTCTAGGCATCAATTGATATCACTGCTGTTCCCCTCACTAGCAGGTCCTAGGGTTCGAATCCCGACACTGGCAGGATTTTCGACACTGGTTAGATAGATAGGTAGAATTCAACCACTGCCTGGAAGAGAATTCTAGCAGCCGGCTGCTGTGATCGGTAAAAATCCATGGTTTCTCCTGTGAACATCAAGCGAATGCCGGAGCAATACCCTATCGAACAGACTACGGACCGCGCGAGATCTTTCCTTCCTCTTCCTTCTCTTATCCTCACCCTTACACCTACAACATTAACTACACTACCACATATATCATCAGACCAGTCGGGAGCTTAGATTATTAGCGGCGGGGGCGGTGTACCGGTGGAGGGATATATCTGGTTGGGGAAACTCGGGTATCCGACGTGTAGTTGTGCACCGGATTTCACCATCTAGCGGGGGAAGATCCCCTACCTCCCAAGGAGAAACCTGAACTAAATTTATTAGACTAAGACCTTATCAGTTGAAGCCTTTGAAAACACGAAATAATCAATCCACCCGGCAGCTCCCCGGCTCCCTAGTCCAATTGCGTGTGTGGTGTGTGACTGCGCAGGCTGGGGCCGCCGCTCGTGTACCACGCCGCGCAGGGGGACGTGCATCGCATCACCCAGGCTCGCGCCCTCGACTACGAGTACGAAGCCGGCGCCGAGCTGCCCTTCTCGGACACTCTGTACCACCCGTGCGGCCGCATGACCAGCAACTACCTGCGCTTCCTCGTGCAGTTCTTCTTCTTCCATCTGGTGCCAGCGGTGATCGGCGACGCTCTGCTCTCCGCCACTCGCCGCAAACCCATGTGAGTGCAGCATTGTTTAATAATCAGCGCCGGGTGCAAGCGTCGGCCTGTGTGAGCACACCCTACACACAGTCGGACCTGACGCCGTCGCCCGCACAGCCTTTGCCACCACCGTCGTCGGGGCCGGTTCCTCGACAAAATTCGAGGAACTAAAACTTGATATCACATTTCCTTACTTCTGTGATTTCACATACACAATTGCAAACATTCTGCGATGTTCACCTGTATCCGAGCTTTTCTCTCGACTTGTGCTAGAACATCTATTTGCGATTCTTATTAAGAAAAAAGTTATAAAAAAATGCTTGCACCTTCTGAATCACTGCATGAACAAAACGGTTATGGCTTCTCTAGGAACGAAAACTGAAAGTGGTTTACCGACTTCGGTGGCTCGGGATATCAACTGACGTCACCGTCATGCATCAGACTGGAAGGTCCAGCGGTAGGATTCTCGCCACTAGTTAGGCAGCTGTGTGTAAGTTAGTCACTATCTGGAGGATAATTCTAGTGACCGGGGACTCTAATCGGTAAGTTTTACACCACACTACCACACCAATGGGAGATCAGGCGGGAGTTTTGATGTAGTCCCGAATACAGCGATGACCTGCTAGTGGGAGATATCTGGAAGTGGAAAACCACGTGGAGACGGCGCTAATCTCGCCACCAAGCGAAGGAAGTTCACCTCCCGGTATAAAAATTCCTTACACTTCTGGGACTATTGACCTCCTCAGTTGACGTGCACGGAATAAATAATAAGTCATAATAAGCATTCAATCAATCTGAAAGTGGATTATCTGGGTAGTGAGGGTCAAGTAAGACTGACCGCGGGATGCAGTCGGGCGATATCACGGTCGCTCTTCCTTTCTCATCTCTATCTCTCATTGGCCCTCTCTTGATAAGGTTTTCCTGAAAGTTAATGAATTTTCAGCGAATGCCCAGTGGGATCTAAAATCTCAATTGAACGAGTTGAAAGTACTCATCAGAAACACAGATATGATACCAGCATCATCTTGAAATTAATTGGTCATTAATTTTAGATTTCTGTTTTCCAACGAGCCGTAGACCAATTAATCATCTATAGGACTATGTAACACATTTTTAATCAATTTCTATTTTTGGTTTCAAATACTTGACTTGTGGTTAATTGAGCAACAAGTGCATAGAAAATAGTCGTTAGACCCTCAAAACATCGCCATCAAAACGATATTTACAATACTGACAACTCTTGCTTTCTTCTATTCTTTTAGTACCGATTTTTAATAGATTTTTTTGTAATCCTCACAAACTCTTATTTGAACTACCTATTTTATAAGTCGGATACAAAAAAAATGATTTCTGTACAATTTTATACGTACCTTCAGTTATTGAGACGAGATATTTTGCATTACTCAGGAATTCTGTGGTGAACCTTTTTTGCAATTCGTAAATATAGTTTAAAGCAAAATGATATGAAAATCGATTAAATCAGAAAAATCCAGTAACAATGACGTAAAAGGGTAAAAAAAACTTTATAATCGAAATAGAAAAAAAAATTCAAAAAATAGCGAATAAAAATGGGTCATTTATTTTCGTCAAAACATACAGTGAATTTCTATACTAAACGGCATCGTTTTAAAGTGAAAAGAAAAAATGACATATTTAAGACCGCTCCCTAGTCATGACATGAATGGATTAAAAGAGAAAGTTGGAATTATCCCTCAACCAAATGGCTACACTTTATAGACAGTTCACAAACCTAGATTTAGATTTATTTAGTAAAAAAAACAGTAAAAAACTGTATGTTATTATCTGCGCACGTTTTCTTGAGTTCCAGCATCACTATCCATTATTTTAACTACAAATAGTTGAAAGATGAGAAAAAAATTATAAATAAAAATAAAATAAAAAAGTGTGATATTCGCAATACTTGAAAAAATAGACATTTTCGTTTTCGAGTTATAGAAAACTTATTTGCATCGGTAAATATATATACACACACACACATACATTGAGACCCGAGTGGTCTCTGTAAATAACAATATTTTAAACACCATTCCAAAAGCCCCGCGAAGAACAAACGTCGCGGCGAACCGCGGCAAAGACGTCCAAGAACAGATCGTCCGCTCGCTCCCTGCGGGAAGTAGCGAGAAGTTAGTTAGCGGCGGAGAACAGGCAGTAACTGCGCGGCTACTAACGGGTGGAACCTGGTTGTGTGCAGACGGCAGATGAGCGCGTCAGAAAACGAGTTGGTGAAAAGTTATGTCGAGACATTGAGTAAAGGAAAGGCGAAATACATTATTTTTTTATTTTAAAAAATTGCATCTGGTTTTGAAAAAATGAAGTCTGAGCGTTTATAAAAATGCACAATCTGGAGCTGGTTTTCACACAAGTATATTGTCTTCGATAAACTTGACTGGAAATATTTTGAAAAACTTTTACTCACACTCGAAATAACGTTTAAAACGTCCGTAATGTAAATTTAAACAAATGAATATATACATATATATATATATATTATATATATATATATATATTAATAGAATATATATATATAATATTCTAAATTTACCCGCCTACACCCCAACTTACCACTTCACAGTAGCAGGCATGAACCCGTAAGGCAGGTTGTCAAGATTTTGCTCGTGAAGCGAGCTTTTAAAAATCTAGGGACAGGATCTTCAGGGTGCGAGAAAGGTTTGAACTCTTGACACAAAAAATCACACAAATTGCAACAACGAGCGTATAATTTACAATAAACTTTTAGTGGATAAGTTAATGACAAAGCCAAGATATAGAATCACACTTTTTACAAGAGATAATCACACAAATAGTAACCTTTACAAACACACTCATGTGAATGAACACATAATTTACTTCAAGATTGATACTCTGACCGTATTTACCCTAAACTACACTGGGAATTCCCTTGGAAAATTAATTATATCTAAATTTGTGCTATCCTAATAACATTGCATAAAATCAAAAATCCAATTTACAATATCTCGTTTCAAGATATTACATGTAAAGAACAAAAGTGTACAAGTGCACTACTCTAATTTACAATTTAACTGTGTCTGAAAATAGCGAAATAATAAATGTCCTAAGTAGAATGTTTTTTTTTAGGCAGGCAATAGCGCACAAAACGTTCCTACTATAATGCGTAATTTGTTTGCCACCCGTGTCCTCAAATTCTTAACACTTCCTATACTAGTTTTCCCTGCCAGTGAACTTGCCTATTTCCTGCGGATCCTAACTGTTACGTCGTGGACTTCCTAAAATTTGGCTTGATGTCGTGCGCTGGTCGCTGCGGTGACGCGCTCGGTCCCAACCTCTGCGTTGTAGAGAGACGGGATTCGCCCTGCCGTCTGCGTTGCCTTCTTGCGTCCTCTTCCGTTCTTCTTCGTTTTCGATCGTTTTTCCCCTCGTGCACCCAAGTCTCGGCTTTCTTCTTCCTCGTCTGCTACCGGCGCCTCTGACTACGCCCACGTGCGAAAAATGTCTTGAGCCTTTACGCGAATACTCGTGCAAGTTCCTCGCTCGTGCTACTTTTACTTAGACAAGCTTGAACTTTTAATGTTTCCCTCACAACGGGTAATTTTACTTCCCGTGTTGTTAATGTG